CACAGCAGGTGGCCAGGAGCGGCCACTGCACTCCAGTCTGGGCGACAGAGTGAGACTCCAACTCAAAAAAAAAAAAGAAAATTATAAGGAAGAGAAAATATATTCAGTATTCATTAAATGGAAGTAGATCATCATAAAAGTCTTCATCCTCATTGTTGTCACGTTGACTGGGCTGAGGAGAGGGAGGAGGAGGGGTTGGTTTTGCTGTCTCATGGGTGGCAGAGGTGGAAGAAAATTCACGTATAAGTGGATCCTCGGAGTTCAAACTCATGTTGTTCAAGGTCATCTGTATATAAGCATGTACATACAAACATATATTCCTTGTCTCTGTCCACTGCGGGGTCTTGGGAGTATGGCATTAGCAATGAGCACACCCTCCTCCCACATACTGGCTTTTAAATACCATTCTTCAGTAAAGGAAACAGCTTCTTAGAGAAATGGCTGATTCCTGGGCTCTAGTAGTGAAAGTGCAAGATGAGGTTGGAATAGTTTGTTGTGCTAGAGAATAGGAAGAATGATGGGGACATGGCCTAGGGAGACAGCAGCCAGCTTGAAAGGGTACCCACTGGCCAACACTGGGACAATTTGAGCATTAGAATAAAAGTGATAGTAATGAATTATAACACATTGAATACAGTAGGAAAACAGGCCATACTGATATAAGCGAATACATGAAATACTTAATGAAGAATGAGAAATTTACATAATTTCAAAGTACTTCTTAGAATATTTGTTAATTATAGAGGAAAAAGAAATAACTTTATAGTGCAGAAGCCTGGCAACCCCTATTTTCATCAGGTGATCAAAGCAAACATTACCAGGAGTGGGACAAATCGAAATTGTCTGCTACCTAATATAATGTGACGAAAAGAATACAGCATCGCCCCTATGATTCTTGCCAAAAACTTATGATCTGAATCTAATCATAACAATAAAAATCAGACAAACCCAGACTTTGGGACATGTTACCAAAAAATCTGACCCATAATCTTTACAAGTGTCAGGATCATGAAAATCATAGAAGGACTTCTCTAAACTCACAAAGACCAATGAGACTTGACAACCAATGTGATTCTGAACTGGATCCATTGTAGAAAAGGACATTGTTGGGACATTTGACAACATTTAAATGGGAGCTGGTGGTTAGATGGTAGGCCTATGTCAAAATTAATGTTCTGAATTTGATATTTGGTTTTACTGTGGTTATATAGGAGGATGTCCTTGTTTGTATAAAATATATGCTATAGGGGCCAAGCTCGGTGGCTCAGTCTGTGATCCCGGCACTTTGGGAGCTTGAGATGAGTGAATTGCCTGAGCCTGCGGGTTCAAGACTAGCCCGGGTAACTTGGCAAGACCTCACCGCTACAGTAAATCAAAAATTAGTCAGGCGTGGTAGCATGCGCCTGTAGTTCCGGCTACTTGGAAGACTGAGGTGGAAGGATCACCGGAGCCCAGCAGGTCGATGCTGGGGTGGCCGTGAGCATGCCACTGCTCTCCAGCCTGGCTGACAGAGTGAGACTCCAACTCAAAAAAAAAAAAAATGCTATGATATCTGAGGATGGTGGGGTGTTAGGTCAGTAACCTTCTCTCTAGTGATGCAGCTTTTCTTTACATTTGAGGTTGTTCAAAAATGCAAAAATATGCATATTACTTGTTCAGACAACTGTGGCCTTTATGACTTAAGGATAATTTGTAAAGTAAGGAGAGGAGCCTCATCCTGTCAACCATCTTGATTCCTAGACAATAGAAGATTGGGATGCATTTTTGGTGTTTTTTTGTTTCTGTTTTAGTTTTTTGTGCCTGCCATTGATTCTTGATGCCACTCGTGATTGCAGAATGCTCATCCTTTACTCACATTGTGCACTCTTTGGTTGGTGAAGGGCTTTTATACGTTTTCTTGTTTGCTTCTTACAGTACCCTTCTGGAGTAGGCAGGGATGATTCGACCATACTGGAGAGGAGGATAATGATAAAATTATAATTACTATATAATTATTATTAATGATTATTATTACATAATTATAATTACATAGTACTTCTTATGGGCCTAGCACTAGTCTAAGTGCTTTGAATGTTGACTGTATTAACTCATTTAATTCTTACAGTTACCCTATGAAGTAGGTATACTATGATTATTTTATTTCATAAACAAGGAAACCAGGCCCAGAGAAGTTAAATAACTTGCCTAAGTCCACACAGCTTAGAAGTGGTGGAACAGGGTTCAAATCAGACACTCAGACTTCAGAGCCCCTGGTTATTTATGTATTGTATCATATTGCCTTAGCTAGGCTAGTGACTGGTCCAGGCCCTTGGTTCATTTACTCATGGATTCAGCAAATTGGTGTCGAGTGCCTGCAAATGCCAGGTCCTGCTTCAGAGGCTAGGAAAATGGATAAAGGCAGACGGAGCTCCTGGCCTCCTGGATCTTGGACTCTTATGTGGTGTGTCAAAGAAGTGGACATGAAACTTGCCTCTCCGCATGGAGTCCAGAAGTGACCCTGCCTCGCATGGACGAGGAGCGGGCAGCGGCATGCTGACGGGCCTGGCCAGGCCCTGTGCTCACAGGTGCACTCTCTCTTCTTTTGAAGGTCGCCTGGTGGGTGCCCTGGATGCAGTGTTGGATTCCAGTGCACGAGTCGCTCCGTTTCGAATTCTGCTTCAAGTTCCTGGGTCCCAGGTGTATTCTCCCATAGCATGTGGTGAGTTACTGAATGGATCAGACGTTTACTGGGCCATAGCCACTGGTGAGTTTTGTTCCAGTTGGAATATTCCAAACATTAAGGTCTAAGCATGCCGAGTATCTGCATGTCCGTGAAGCTTGAAGGTAACCCCTTTAGAACCTCACCTGCTTCTAGAAACTTCTCCCTCCCCTTCCCTCCTCTCCCCTCCCCTCCCCAGCCTTCTTTCCCTCCCTCCCTTTCTTCCTTTCCATCCATCAAAAAGCACATAAAGGCTGTAATCTTGGGCAGCAGAGCTTGGGCATGCCAGGCTTTTGAGTGGTGTGTTTCAGGGTGCTCATATTTTGTCGAGTATGAGTCGAGCCAATTTCTTCTTAATCTTATTTGTCACTTAACAAACGTGCTCCCAGTGTTACAATATTGGGATGGTGGGGATAGAGGCAAGTTCTGAGGGCTGTGCCTGGCTTAGGACGGCCTTCACCTCTTTATTCCACATTTGTGCTGAGGGGATGAATTGTTGGACAGCCGCTTGCTAAGGGAATGTAGCCGTTACTTGTTCGTCTTCTCCCTTGGAGGTTTCTGTTGCGCCTGCAGGCGTCACCTGGTGCTTTATCCATTCAGGTCCCTCTCAGGTGAGGAGTCGTCACTTCCTGAGAAACCCCTTCTCGTAAAAACCAAAGCCAAAACGTGTCTTTCTTTTACACAGATAATACATGTTCACCTTCCAGGTGCTAAAAAGTATATAAGAAAGAAGGAAAAAAAATCATCTGTAACCCTTTATCCAATGCTAATTTTCTGTCTTCAGATATTCATAGAAGTTTTCTAGTTTTGTGTTTTTTCTGAACACTTTCTTAGGTACCACAAATTTTCAGCATCACCTCATGTTTTCTATCAACTTGGATTTTTTTCCCCCTGGAAAAATACAGAAAGTACAAAGCAGAGAATTCTCACCCAGATCTCACCATCCAATACTAATCACTATTAGCCTCTCAGCATGTTTTATTTTTTAATTAAGATGAATCATTCTGTATTTGCGTAAAATGACAAAGATGATGCATGCTCAGTATAAATAAATCAATTAACACAGGAAAGTACAGATAATAAAATATCATTCCAAATCCCAGCCACCTCAAGTGACCTCTAGTTGCACAAGGTAAACATCATCTCAGGTAACTTTCTGGTGCATTTGGAGAGGTATAAGGATCGTTGGAAAGATGGCTAGAAGTACTTTCATAAAAATGTAACTTGTCTGTCAATGTTATTTTATAGCCAAAGTATTTGGTTTACTGGATTTCAATAGAAGGAAAGAAGTTGAAGTGAAATCAAGGAAATGTTAAATTTCGTATAAATGTTTCTTTAAAACAAGAGAGATTATTTTCTGAAAGGTTCATATAAGGTTAAGGGAAGATTTTTTTTTTAAAGCATTACAGGTTAGAATTGTGGCTTTTGAAGAACATTGTTTTAATTCTGATAATGTTCATTGGCTCCTACCCTCCAGGTCAAGGGTGCCAGCATTCTTATTCCCCTTCCTGCCTCTTAGTTTTCATTTTGAAGACTTTTTATAATAAGTTTTAGATTGTAGTTCCCATTGTGTCCTTTCATTGTTTAGTTCAGTTCTCATTTTAATTGACTTAATGTTTCTACTCAGATATGGCTTTCTCAATCTTGAATCTTGTGTTTTGGTTCATCTCTTAATTAGCTGGATTCTGCTGGGTGTGGTGGTTTATACCTGTAATCCCAGCACTTTGGGAGGTGGAGGCAAGAGGATTGCCTGAGCCCAGGGGTTTAAGACCAGTCTAGGATACTTGGCAAGATCTCTTCTTTACAGTAAATCAAAAAAGTTACCTGGTTGTGGTGGTGTGTGCCTATAGTTCTAGCTACTTTGAAGTCTGAGGTGGAAGGATCACCTGAGCTCAGCAAGTTGAGGCTGTGGTGGCCGTGAATGTGCCACCACACTCCAGTGTGGGTGACAGAGTGAGACTCCAACTCAAAAAAAAAAAAAATGTTGGCTGGATTCTTGGTTTGCTTTATTTTTTAACCTCAGAAATGTCTCATGAGTGTCCTATTCTCTGAATGTTTTTATGTTTGCAAATATTTACTGCTTGTTTTTGGACCTGAGTGACACTTTGGCTGGGTATGATAGTCCAAGGCCACACTAGAGCTTGGTGGCTATATATATGCCCAGGGTCTTCTGGTATTTGGTAGGATATTAAGAAGACCTCCTCTCTGGTCTGATTTTTTTTCCCCATTTGTGGGTAATGATTTTTTGTGTGCACACAACTCTGTCTTTATCATTGATGCTTTTAGTAACTTGATTAGAATCTGTTATTGCCATGAGAAGAGTGTGTAAAAATTTTTTGGAACAGGTTATACTCTTGCAGTCTGCAGATTGATTTCTTTAATTGGTTCAGGAGATTTCCTTCTATCATTCTGTGTCTATATTATGTATTTTGTTTGATGCATTCTACATTCAGTTTACTGACTTCTCCAGCGTTACTTCATGTCGTCATATAGGTGTTGTCTGCTGTTCATTTCTATTTCCTTTTCTCAGTCTTTTTCACCTATACTGTCCGTTCTCCTCATAACTCATTCTTCTGAGTTAACTCAGTTTTCAGCAATGAATTTTGTACCTCGATGCTTTTAACTTATCTACTAATTTTGTTGTCATGTTGTTTTGATCCTCAGTTCATTTTCTTCGGTTCCTGGCATCCCTTTAATCTATTGTTTCATCATCTTCTCCATGAACTCTTATCTTATTGAATTCATGTTCCCATTATATTGTGTTGGAGTGTGAATTTTTTTTTCTTCCTTGAGTGTTTCACTTTCTTCTAGGACGGAGTCTCTTCCTAAGAACTTTCTGTCCTCAGCTCATTTTCTTTTGCTTGCTGCATCGTTTTTCCTCCTCTTGCTCATGCTTGAGCTTCATTATACCAGTTGTGAGATTGACATCAACATAAGGTGCCTTTTTGACTTGTGCTATGGTAACACAGCAAAAGAGCAAAGAGGACTGGCATGCCACTAGACCAGATGTGGAAGATGAGGGAGTGGGATCTCCTTCCTTTTTCACATTTCTTGTGGATCTGGAGCTTCTGATATGATTATTTGGGCTTTTTTTTCTCCTCACCAGATTGGCTTCTGGGGAGCTGGCAGGATGGGGAGTTGCCCATATCTCTGCACTGTTCCTGAATCCACACCCTTGGAAACCATAGGCACGTGAGATTCTTACCAGCTTCACAGCATTCAACCCTGTGGCTGTAGCTCAATGTACTCATCCAGTTCGATACTTAATTGGTGCCAATATTTCACTGTTTCAAAAATTGAAGCAAACATTCATTCACTTACATTTTTAGGACACTTCTCAATCCCCAAAGTCCATTTATTTGAAATGTTTGGTGCCTGCCACGTATCAGACATGGGCTTGGTGTCAGACATTCTGCAGTGAGTGTGTGAGGGATGATGGTCTTTCCCCAGCCAACTTTACAGGGCCCAGAGGAATGTAGCGATGTGGAATGACAGGTGCAGGTAGGAAGAAGGCTGGCAAAGCCAGAGAGGAAAGGACGCTTGAAGAGCACATCATGAAGAACGGTTCTGTTATAGGGTCATGTGTTTATACTGCCTCTTATATATGTCACCAGATTGCCTCCCATGAAGTTTACACCAGCTTCCCTGGCTCTTTACCCCTTGGTGGTGTAGTAGTCTGAGCATACCTGACTCTTAGACCCTCTTTCTCTGGAGCCAGTATCTGCTTTCTTTAGATCCCACTGCCTAGATTTTTTCCTTGAGTTTGACCTAACCAGGTCTGCAGATGCATCACTTTCTTCTGTCATCTTGCCCACAGGAGGTCCCCTGAGTAAGAACTTGTTATTTTCAGTGCACTCTTCTTGTATTTAAAAAAAGAGAATTGTGAGTGTATTTCTGTCTTGGGTCTGTGGTATCAATTTAGATACTTAGGCCTCTTCTGGGAGTTACGTGGGCATCTTACACTGTGTTATTGACTCACCATAGTTAATATTTTATTGTGTCTCAAGCACTGACAAAGTGTCCCTGCCCAGGGTTTCAAGTCTCAGATGAAGCACAAACAAGAGCTGTAGGAAAGGCCTGGGCGGCACCAGGACGTGGGTAGGAACAGGAAGGGTGGCCTTCAAGAACGACTTATATCTTCACTTGATTTTGGCTGCTGACACGGTGGGACTGGGGCGACAGTAGAGCCTTTCAGGATGTTTCTTTTTTTTCTTTTTAAAGCAGTAATAGGTAGGTAATTTTACGGGTGAATTACATTATTATTTGGGGAAAGAGATCTGTGGATGACTATGGTTGGAAGGGATAAGTTGCTGCTACTATTGTTAACTTACATGGGCCAAAAAATCCAAAGACTTTATGAAGATTACTGGCTTCAGTGGATAAAGCCATGTTGCGAGCGAGTGGTTGCAAGTTGTTTGGGAGGTGACGGGCAGAGGAGCATGCCGTCTCACTCAGATTAGAACTGAGAAGGCCTCTCTCCTGACGTTGTCAGATGCTTCTTTTATCCTGGCACTCACTCGTCACTGCTGTCTTTTGACTTGTTTTATGCCTGTCTCCCTAGTGGAAAAAGTGTTCTCTGAGATTCATGCTTGCCAGTTGCTCTCCAGTGCCCAAGACAGAGCCTGGCATGTCGTCGGCGCTTAGTAAATTGCAGGGGAGTAGATAAACAGGGAAAATACATTACAGAAGGTGACAGGGTCTCCGCAATTAAGACTCCTATGCATCCAGACCTGGGAGTTGAGACATATGATTACAGATGAGATGCTGTGGACAGGGATATTCCAGGGAAGGGCATAGACCTGCTCATGTCCACTGAGCAGGAGAACTTGCAAAACAGGGATCCGTTTCTTTCTTTCTTGAAAATTAAAAAAAAAGTGTTGTAAGTAAAATATATATAACATAAAATTTGCCATAATCACCATTTTTAAGTGTACAGTTCAGTGGCATTAAGTACGTTCACAATATTGTGCAGTCATCACCACCATCCAGCTCCAGATTTTTTTGAATCTTCTCAGATTGAAACTCTGTACCCATTAAACACTAAC